AAAAAGTAAACGTAAGTAAACAGCCAGAAATAGAACCAGAGCTTTCGGACAACACTAGTCCTTCCTCAGTGGCGAGTGAGTGAGGGTAGAAAAAGCTAGATGGTATAAAGTGAGAATTTCATGCGAGCATGATTGGAAACAATAGGCTATATATATATATGCGTATTTGTGGTCATCATTTAAAATGCATCCATAAGAACACACAAAAATACAGGGAGGTACTGTAGCAATATTGAGAATGTAAAATGTTTTTAACAACTGGTATATATCTGTACTTTCGATCCTACATAGCTTAGTCATTCCTTATTCCTCCACGTTCACTAATGCTCTCCTATCAACTAAAGCCATATACATTCTCATCTCAAACTTTCATATAGTGTGATGTATGCAAATTAAGGTTTCAGTCATGGCATAGTTTTGATTGGTGGTTCGAAATTTGCGGACCGATTACTAACCACTCACTGTGTTATGGTTAGCGCAGATTTAAAAAAACCCTTTCACAGATGTTTCGACCACCTCCCCTTATATATATCAAGATATAGGCATACGTATATATATATATATATATATATATATAATACTGTATAAAAAATTATATATATATAAATTATATATATATATATATAATTAGTAATAGGAAAACGAGATGAACAAAAACAATAAACGGCCACACAATGCAAACAATATAGAATCGTTACTTAGTTCATTTTGTCATTCTGATTGCATTTTCTGTACTGTTCCGTTTAAGTTTACTATATATATAGTGGGTGACCACTACTTGAATTAAGCGAATTCGTCACGTCGTGGGGGCTCGGGTTCCAGTTACGCGCAGGCTCAGTCGGTAGATGTTTACATATATGGCCACAAATAAACAAGAGGAACCTTTTCTAGTTATATACTTAATAATGATTTATTGGGCAATGTGGATTACAAATAGGGACTTATAAATTGGACCTAACCTAACCTAACAAACTACACACGTGAGACCGTCGGCAATGCAGCGTACGCTTGTAGAAAGTAAAATAATAATAAATGCAAGAAGTCCAACAAAAATAGAGTTTAGAATATACGACAAAACAGCGAGATCCAATGATATACGGTAACAAATTTCGGTTCAGGAAGACGGTCCAAAATTGCTTCCACTTGCAATCGTCTGGTTGCACTTGGTACCGGTATTTGTTACAGCAAATCAAACTGTTCTTCTGATTCCAGTCAGGGAAATAGTGAAACCAAAAGAGTAGTAATTCTTCTTCCTTATTAATTCAGGAAGAATTCCAGTCAACAGCTTTCTGAAGAAAATTCACATTTATCCTAAGTCTATCCGACTATAGGACTATACTTCTGTGTGCTGGAGTTCCGATCGGGATCTCTCAGTGTTCCTTCTTCTCTGCTGTGTCTTTTTCCTTCTTTTCTGTTCTCTTCTGTTTCCTTGGATATTCTGGGTATATGTAGTGGATCTGGCTCCACCCTACTCATTCGAATACTCAATTATCATTGGTCCTTTAGCCTCAGGCAACACCCAAAGTCACTGTCCATTCCCGATTTCTTGTGTCCAGTAATAAATCATTTGATGTTGACAGGACGTTTCCTTTACTTCCTCATGTATGTCGACAGCATACCACCCAACTCTCGGGAGAGGGTTACCTGGTGGTATCTATTTGACTATAGGAAATGGAATGTTCAATGGGTCATTAACCTACAGGCTAAAACAGTATTGCATTGTATAGCCTCTTTGGATACGGGATAGTGGATTAATATAAATGAGACAGATATATATGCTATGTATAATCATGTGTGTGGTCATCACCCAAAATGCATGCATGAGAAACGAAAAGATACATAAGATTGACTTGATATAACATAAGCAATGTGCAGGAAAATACTGTTACGTTTTTGACTTATACAAATTTTTATTTTACACATACACACACAATAAATAAGTCCAGAAATGTCGAAAAGTTTTTTAAGTCCAGAAAAGTAGAAAATTTTTCTAAAAAAGTAAAGTACAACGAAGAAAAAAAAAAACTAACAATTAGACTTTTTCATATTTTTTTTCTGTTATTTATTTGTCTAAATCTCTTAAAATATACATACTTTTTGTATAAATCGTGACAGTTCACTTTCTTTCTTTAAACAATTCCCATCGCTTCCTCGTAAGAGGGGGGATGAGACGGGGAGACGCGGTAGGCCGTTCTTCGTGGCCACGATCGAGCGCTTTGCACGCACTGGTAGACTAAAAATATCAAGAACATGTAAAAAATCCTATCGAAACGGACGACATCTGCGAAGCCATCGTCTTCTCCTGCGCGAATGTTGTCATCAAGTAGGCTAACGGAACCAACCCGTTGAAGAGGTACGTGGAGATCGCGTATCCGTAAACCGTTCGGACTAAACTCCGATGAGAAGGATACTCCGAGCGAGTATCTACTTCAGAACTCTGCTCCCCTTTGACGTCATGACTATCAATCCTATTAGCGGTTCGCCTTTCGACAGTGCTTTGATGAATGCGGATGTTACCATAGCGTCGAAAATCGAGTCGATCTGTTGCTTTCCGACACGTCCATGACCAAGTAGAAGACGAACACGCCGAGCGGCAACTGGATGTCGATGGTGCTCGCCTTCGTTCTCTCGGTCAATATGCCCGACGTGAACGTGACCGCGACGGCGATCGTCGGTAGGACCGTGCTCACCAGAATGCGAAGATACCTGATGGAGAAATAACACACGATAAGAATCTATTTTTTTGTTGTCTTATATTACTTTTAAATCCATCGAAATGAAACTTACGTTTTTTGTAGCTGTCGTGCGTGAATGATTTGAAAGAAGGTCCACTCAGGAGGCTCGTTCTTCCACGCTCCGTGTAATTTGTTCACGATTCTGGGTAATGCGTGGTGGAGGAAAACCATAACGTTCAACGTGACCGAAACCGCTAGGAGGACTTCAACCGCGTTCATCTCTCGTTGCACTGCCAGCACGTTTCGGTAACTCCGTACCTGTCGGGGAAAGAAATGTATAGATGACGTGTTCGTGTTCATGGATGACGTTTTCCTTGCACTTCCTGCTTCCTGCAATTCGATGCCGTACGTGCAAGCCAATCACCGTTTTCCAATTCCGATGACGTAAGCACCGAAAACAGATGACGTCTTCGTGTTTTTGTTTTCAAACGTGATAAAAGTCGCATAACAGTTTGATATTCTCGCATTTGCTTTTGCGGAACCATTAACCGTTAAAATCGTTTACATATTCACATTCATTAAGAAGTTGTGGATCAAGAATTTGGTACCTGGTATCGATTACGTGAATCTTCGAATTGAAGCGGTCAGC